ACGTCCTAGGCCCCTGGGTGGGGCCCGACTAGTAACCAATGCCAAATCCGGCGAAACAACTGGCCGCTGTGATACAATTGTATAATAATAATACCCAATAATAATAATACCCAAAAGGTATGTAAGAAATATTACAGAAAACCTGTGATATTTTAACTGTGATAAAACCTAACAGAGGAGGTGATAAACTTGTTGAACACAAAGAGTTATTGGCCAACAGCAACTTTTATATATTGGCTTTACATGTTGCTGAGAATACTCACTTTCACGTGATTCTTCATTTTTTCATTAAGGAGCAATCCCACTTGTACAGCATCTTCCTCTATGTCAGTAATAATGCAAACTCCCTGCGATATAGTGTCTAGCAAAGACAATTTCAAAAAAAGAAGAACAAAAAGAGGGGGAGATTCATTTTCTTTACTATTACCTCATTTCCAGGATCCTTTCATTTCCCTATACAAAATCACAGTGTATATAGAAAACAGAATGTTGTTTATGACAACCATTAATATTAATGACATTTCCAGGCTTAAAATCTTGGCTAATCTTCTGAATTTTTATAAGGGGAATATATTATGGATTGTTCATGATAAATTGTACAAAACAGTTCTAGGAATCAAAATAATATCTGTTCTGGGCATGACTGTTTTGTCTTTCATTCATAAAACTGGTTGCTACTCATGGATATTCAGAAGACAGCTTTGTATTTCACTGTTCAATTGGTTATTCACTTCTACATTAAAGAGATTCTATAAGCTTTGTAGTGGACTTTGTTTTTAAACTGTTTTTTATAATAAGATATAAATGAGTTTAAAGGGTATAATAAAGTTATTGGTTTTTCTTTTGGGTGCTTCCAACTGTAGATAAAAACAAGGGATTCAGTTGCTTTATTTAACACACAATATTATACTTATTCAATCATTCACCTACAATTTGTTTTTAAGTTTTTGTACACAGAAATTTTACTGACTGTCCAAGGATTATCCTGAATTATGCTATGTGTGAAGAATAACTACTAATAAAAAGTCTTCCTACCAACCAAGAGTTTTAGCATGAAAAAAATGCATAAATGTTCCTTTAATACGTACTTAATTAATGAAGGTTCTGTCTGCAACTCTGGATAATATTCTTCTAACTGGGATTAGGGAGGGATAGAACAACTACAGATAACATGTAAAAGGAGCATTTTTATTTTCAGCAGCATCATTTTACTACATAAAAAATGTTGACGAGGTGACAAGTCCAAGCAGGACATACAAAGTTATGTAGTGCCTGCTGGCAATTCCCCTGTGAACATAAGACTTAGTGATTTAAAAAAAGGTAAGCTGAAACTGGAATTCAGGAGGTCATATCATCATAAGAATTTGATCAGAGTTCCAAAAATATTAATTCTTCACCTAATTTTAAATATACATTTTAGGGACTACCTTAAAGGCAGACTGAAATCTTCAAGCTTACATGTTTCAACTAGAGGTTCAAAGATATAGTTAGCCTGAGGCAAGAAATCCTTACACAGATTCTTTCAGGATGTTTTTATGCTATCCAGGTTCTAACTACTTTTATAAATGAGTCATCTTAACTGCAGGATGAGGTTTCCCTATTTGCAGACTAATAATATAAGAAAAAGGAGAGACATGCGCCACATTGTCTGCACATCCAGCAAGTTGCTACCTGCTTTATTTCAAGTGCATTAAGACTTATTTTTATTAAATCAGTATTCTATTATTTTCCAATCTACATTTTAAAAGAAATACAAAAACTAAAAAAATCCATGGTTATTAGTTTGTATGTGTGTTTGTATGGAGTCCTTGGTGTTCTCTGAACTTAGTTGTTGGCTTGCAGATGTTTCATTATCAACTCCCCAAATCATCATATATAAAACTGTTTGTTTTTCTTACCTACATCAGTGTTCAATTTAATAGAATGGAATGTGTTCTTTATCAACAGTTTATTCTGCATACAGGAAAACACTTGATTTTTTCCTCAAGCATTTGAAACTTATTCTACATTTGCATAGATAAGATTACATTTGTAATTCAAAGTATCAAACAGAGCTCAAATAATTAATATATATATGATATATTAATTTGTTCTAAATTATTTTAGGCCATGTATCTCCAGTTGACTTGATCAATTACTTTAAAGATCAACAGGACAAATTAATAGCTATTATTTGAAATGCCTGTAAAAATATCTATGCAAAGGTTCTGTTTAGTATTTAGTTGTAATATTTATTTAACAAATATATATGGCCATCCATATTTTAGTAGAAATCATAGGCAACCATATACACACAAAAACTATTTGAAATAAGCAACCCTTCCCAGAAACCACTTGTATCCATCCATCCATCCATCCCATTATGCCATTTATAGCTCATTTATAATTAAGACAAATGAATGCTAAAGCAAATATCTACTTATTCTTCACTTTTTATTGTTATGTTCCAGCTGAAGTTTCATAATAAATTCTCTTTTTAATTTGTCTATGATATAAAGCATTATCAATAATGTCATGATATATGTGTGATTCATCTGTTATCAATGAATATTCAGTTTGGATCCAGATTTAAGATGATTCAATAAATAAACTTCTTAGTTACTAAAATTTTCATTAAGTTGAATGTTGACCCTAATGTAATTCTCTAAAAAATTCAAATCTGGATAATTTGATCCCAGAAATACATAGCATTTACCTCACTGACTACTCTTAAAGGAAACTAATTACCATATGTATCTTTCAACAATCTTCATATGAATAATTAATATAGGTTTTTCAAAACAGTTAATATATAGTTCTATATACATAATAGAATGTAGAATTAACTTGAAACTGTAGAATATCTGATGAAAATGTCTGGTTGATTCAATTTTAAAATTATTTAAAAATATTTACATTTTTAATATTTAATTATTATTTTAGAAATATCTTAGATGGTCAGAAATCTGAAGCCTGCATAATTGTTTCATTTAATTTTTTTCATAATAATTTCTCATAAATAACTCAGTGCTTTTTTCATAATTTCTAGTTGCTCTTATATGGGAATAACTTAATCTACCAGCAATGAAATTTTTATTTGTTTATGCAAATTTCTGAAATTAATATCAAACTTAATATTAACTGGTGATTGCCAATCTATTAAATAGTTACATTCACAGAGAAATATGACTAATACTAAAGAAATGAAAAGAAAAACCTACAATTCTGTTTTGTTCAAAAACTCAAAAGGGAACCACTCCATATGACATCAATATATTTGCTATTGGGATCTAAATAATTATAATAGCGTTTCTGCTCTTCACAAAAGCAGCATATATGCCTATATCTATACATCATATCATTCATCAGCTATTCACACCCACTGACCATTTCCCACTAATGTTACATGTTAAACAAAATTTATATTCTACAACCCTCATTGATTAGTATATTTTTAGACTTACCAAATATAATTATAGAAATTTTTTATTCTAACTGATGTTCTTTTTATATACAGGAATTATCCCCCTTATTTGTAAAGCACTCTCAGGTAGAAGGAACTGCAATGTTACCAAAAAGAATTGGTGACTGTGTCCAATGCCTAGAAGGAAATATGTAAATTGCAGAAACAAGGAAAAACACATACCTTTGATTAAACAATCAGCTGCAAAAAGATCCCACTTGTAAGTTACCTAAAGGATAAATAATATTTTCTAGAGCAATCAATATATTAATAAATAATTGCAAGCAGAACAGTGTCCAAAAGCAACTGTTTACAATATATGTAAACACCTCCAAAAATTTCTTAATCTTATTTTTCTAAAAGATTAAGATTTTGTAGCATTTAAAATCTATTGAACATTAATTTTGACTCCTTGCAAAGAACTTGTATTTCATTTAACAATACTATTTATTATAATTTACAATTAATAGAGTAATTATAATTCATTCAGTAACAGAGATATGTCTGAAAATTATAATCTTAATGCATAATATCATCAAATCAAATATCTTTATTACATTCTTTGATCAGTTTATGCAGTAAAAAAGGAATGTAATTTAACAAAACAATTCATTATCAGCAGGTCAAAACAATAAAGACAATAAAACAAGGTATATAATTGTTCAACTGCATCAGTTGGCAAAAAAAGTATCTGGAACCTAGTATGTGACTTAACAACTCTTAAAAAGTAACCAATTTATATTTAATTAGTATGATTTATAATTTAGTGGTAATGGGGAGATCATACTATATCTTAGGACATCACAGAAAGGACATCATAAAAGAGACATAATTAAAAAACAGTGATAAGTCAAGGGGCATAATAAAAACAGAATTAAAAAGGCAAGCTTAAAGGTGGAAGGAATGCCCTATTATAGATTCGATGCCAATGAGATTTAGTTGCTATCTGACCTCAGCAGAGGCAGCAGGCCAGTACTGTTAACGATTACTCTGAGTCCTCAGATTAGAACTGAGGAGCAGACCTAAGTCTTAATATTTGACACATTAAATTCAACTTCAAGACTGCATATTGGGTGCATTCTGGGCTACTGAACAAAATCCTAGGAATTTAACTGAAGCTTCATAAGACCATAAGTTTATATATAACCCCAGTTCAATTGCTATTGGGATGTAATTTATCTATGGAATTTAGTTATTGCTTGTGTGTTCTGTTGGGAAGTTGAAGTGGCATAATTTGCCTGTGCTGGTAATATCATCTACAAGTGTTTAGGTTTTTTAATAGTTCAACTTTTTTTTTCTTTAATAGAAAAGCAAATAAAATAAATTCAATATAAATTTACAAAATAGGACAATCAATATATAGTAGTACTCTCCATGGACAGGTGGCTTCAAAAGTTTGTGTAATTCTTTCAACATAATTTTCAACCTAAATACCTTGACAAGAATGAAAAAATACAACTGCCATTCTTGCTTTTTCCTCGTGCCAATCAAACCTGAGATGGACAATGCATGTTAGGGGCAAGATCAGCACTTGATTATTTAACTACTTTTGCCATCAAATGTTGATGCTGTTGCCAAGGCTACATATGTTGTTGGACTATCCCAATCATCAGCAGAGGAAAAAAAGTCTGTAATTCTCGCAGTTACAGTAGCAATATTCAATATACAGTAGCAAAGACTAGGAGATTAGCCTCCTCTAATGGAACTCCTAAAGTCTGTAGTTCATTTCCATTTTCTTGTCCCAATCAGATAATTAAAAGAAACATGGAAACTAACATGACAGGCCATGCAATTTATAAACTATGAAATATCTTCTGATAATTGCTACAGAAAATTACAATTACTTGTAATGTGTAATTTTATATAAACTCAAATTTGATATTGCATAGATTAAATTATAAAGAAAACTTCCTTGATGTTACCCGTCAAAACAGAAGGAAAAAGCCATCCCATCCATTATGTGATATTTTGTATTATTCTCTTGCACAGTGTTGTTCTAGCAGCTTTTCTACCTGCCATGTTTGATATTACCAGAATATTTTCCATTCTCCTCTATGCTTTCTCTTTTAAGATGATGGTTTTCTACTGAAATATTTTATTAAACATAAGCATTATTTATTAAACAACATAATTAATGTGTTAAATTTAATAAGATGGTCACGTTTTATTATAGTTAGTGTTATTAGCACCTAGACATTAACACCCTGTAAAAAATTCTGTATTATCAGAAAATGTTTCAATAATAAGCAGCAATAGCAATGTTCTTACCTTCCATAGGTCAGGAGGTCCTTCAATAAGTTTAGCATTTATATTGCTATATTTTAGAACTAGATGCAAACATTCTGTTCCATAATCCAGATCATAATCACTACACTGTAGAAAACAAAAAGAACAAATTATAGAATATTTTAAAAATAAAATATGTCATTTAAAATATGTAATGGGATCTTCAAAATATATATAGAAATTCAACAAAATAGATAATACTTCTCTATGTTTGGTTAATCTTTTCAAAATGTTGCTACAAACACAGTACATTCACTCTCCTGGAAAAAGGTAAATTCTGTAGTATTTCAAATAGTTTTAGAATCACACAGCAGGTTTTATCGCTCTGTATATATACTTAAATGCTCCCTATTATAATGATTACAATTTTAATGCTGAGCTCTCACTTTGGAATTCAACCTCTTTTTGCTCCACAACTGTAACTGTGCTTCAATCAAATATTTATTAATATAATGATGTATCATGGTATCAGGATACAAATGCAACTTATTGACTTGTTGCTTAATGACCATTCAAAGTTACAACACATATAATGCACTTCTGAACATTGCAAAATTCCACACAACTTCCCCTGCATAGTCAGATGAGTGTAATCTGGCTTCTTGGCAACCTGATTGCACTAATCAACATCTGTCAAGTGGTAGCTCAGCATTATAATTGTTATCATTATAATAGAGAACATTTAAGTGTTTACACATACAGAAATGACACCTGCTGTATGAATCTAAACATATTTGATATGCTAAAAACGATGGGCACATAATTGCATTTGAAATCTTCTCTGCTCTCAATGATGAGAGATCAATGAGGAAATCTGCAAGGAAGATTGCAAGCTGTTGCCACCTGCTGAGAGGATTCCCTCTTGTCTCTGGGAGCTGGCTGAAAGAACTCCTTTCTAACTTGTGCATGCTTGGATTTTGAAGGTCAAAATTTTAGTTGGCAAGAGCTAAAAATCCTTCTTTTCTACCTCAATACCTGCTTGAACCTTGGCAGCCAAAATCCAAATGTACACAGAGCCCAAAATTTCTTTCAGTCTTCTAGTCTTTCCTTGGTCTATCTCACAGCCCTTTCGCTGTCAGGACTTGACTGCTAAAAGAGAATCTCTCTTGTTGAAGTATGTGTTTTGTGTGTGCATGCGCACTAACACAGCCGTAACTTAAATTTGACCAATATTGAAATGAGTTTTAGCCTTCCATAAAAACTTTTTCATTAACTTATCCATTTAATATAGCTAATAGGAAGTAATCCTGGAATCTCTCTTAAAATATACATATAAATGTAATGTTCTCTTAAAAATAACAACTAATACTTGACTTTTAGTTTTTGCAATTGTATGCACTAAATGAAAGTCTTTCCATAACTGAAGCACTTATAAAGAAAGATATGGATAAATGATCATTTATCCATTGTGTTTCAGTTGTAGCTTGTCTTGAAAGCTGTAAAAGATGATCTCTTGTACTAGACTTTAAAAAATTAAATTATAGGAGAGTCTCTGTGAATAATTCCCTCTTGTTCTGTAAGCATCCATTATCATACTTTAAAATCAATTGGCAATGAGAAGCATTCCTGAAGGAATCCTTATGTGCAATTTAATAAAGATTTCCGCTACTCATCATCCAATGATAGGCTACTTACTTTTTAATTATTTCTGCTGAGCTGCCCCCATACTTTAAGTAGTTTTGATTGTAATTTTGTAATTTTTTTATCATGGAATTGATCATGTTGCCTCAGGTCTTAATCCTAGAGAAATAGCAATAATGCTCTTTAACCATTCCATAATTTTAAGATCTCTGTGGATTGTGGATATGCCAGTTACCAAACTTGTACATTTAATATCAATTTGGGTAGAAATGGGTTGGAATTTCATTAATAATTCTAAGTATGTTATCTTTTCTAATTGAGAGAATAATATATCTCAAATTAATACAGTTCTGTTTAGTCCATTAGAGAAGGAGCCATCATTTTTTCTTCTCTCTATGGCATATCAATACATTATATATACATTTATTCAATTTTTCTCTAGTTTTTGGAATTGAACTCTTGTTTTAATTGAGTGAGGAAGACCTATTTAATTTATGACACATATTGTTAAAATAATATTATATTCACTAAGACAAATTTAAAAAGTTTAGGCACAAATCATTCACCATGAACTATTTATCTGAGCAATTTACACTGTGATGGTAATGATGATTTAATAGCTGACCAGCTGCTGTAAGGCTATAAACTGAAATGAGAATGCAATGAGAATGGATCAGCAGGGTTATCACTTTAAGAGGCTGTCTATATAAGAGAGATCCTGTGAGGGCGTGTCTCTGGGTGTGTGCGAGCTTCCGTGCTATATTTGATGATTGATTGCCTGATTGTATCTAGTACGTATATGTATATTCTTTGTAGATAAACCACTGTTTGAAAGACAAACCACTGTTTACTGTATTTTGCTCCTGGGTTGTCTCAAAATAGTTAAATTGTGTGCACTCTGACATAAAACCATAGGTTTGAACAAGATAGAAAGCAATCATGAAAATAAGGGCTGCAGAAAGGAATATTGCCTCCCTTTCAGCCAAAAGAGAATTGGATAGAAAGGGACCTTCCATAAGAATCAATTGGAGACACAACTTTGCCAATGTCATTTCTAGTTCCATTCCCACTGGTTTCATTCATTCTAAATTTCCTATGTGTAGTATTTGGAAGTAGGGTAAGTGACAAAAATGTCATTTTCAGAGAGAACCTTCATCTTCCAGCTACCTCAGTTACAGATGGATAATGACATACATGTGGTAATAGGTAGACATATCCTTGGGAAATAGTAGTCTGATCCTGTAGCAGGATAAGGAAGCTGCCTATCCTGAGATCTACCTATATTCAAGCACATGCCAAATCCCTAGCCAAGGAAAAGAAACACTACAACTTGTTCTTTAAAAGAATACTCATTTGGAGCTTTCAGGTGAGAAATGGCATTTAGTACTATACAAATAATCCAGATGTTCTTACTGTTACACTGACGGCAAAAAACCCAAAATACTTACCTGAAGATATGCTTGATGGATTTTATCAAATAAGAAAGCCTGAGGCATTTCACTTGCTCTGTACTTGGCACGATCTAGTGAATGGTCTAAACATCCCTCTGTAGTGGAAGCAATAACCGTGGAGACAAGAGGACGGATTGCTCCTGCAGCCTAGGGTATAAAAAATGTCAGTTTTAAAACAAGTCAAATCAAATTAAAGAGTTTAATCTTTACATACACTATTAACCGAATATAGATACATATGAATTCCATGTGAATAAATGGCACACCAGAATTAATTGCACAAAATATTTATATATCAAGTTCATGCACGATCAACTAATTGCACTAGACAACAAAATTATTCAATGATACACCGATAATTAATCTAAACTCTTATTTATATTTTTTGTTGTTTCTAAATGGAATATTCATTATCACTACTTGATTAAGCTGATCATCAAATTGACATACTTTATTACCCTAGCTCTTAATATTGATTGAATGCTGTTATGAATGTATGGCAAAGTTTCTTTGAATTTGGGTGTCAAAGATTTTCTGAACAATACTGAAAATTATTGATGACTATGCCTTCAAATGGAACAACATTACATGATCAAATATGAATCAGTCATTATCAATAATAATGATCATTGTGAAATAGTTTACTTATATTAAAACCTTTCCTTTGCTAAACATTTCATTTCTGGTTCATTGATAAATAACTATAAAACATGTGTTTGACTATTAAATTTGATTTAATACCTTTGTAAAGGAGTACCGGAACATTAGATTAACTTAATTTAGTCAAATGATATGCTTATAGATATCCTATGCTAAGCATTTATGAAACTTATGAATTAATTTCTAATATATATTAGATTGATATAAATAATACATTCCAATTACAGGAAGTGGTTAGCAATAGAACTTTAGTGGTTAGAACTTTGAGAACAAGCTTTTCCCCTATCTAAAATTTAGCTCTATTTTTACAAGTGTAAATAAAATGCAAAAGTACATTAAAACGATGTAACAATTTTCAAATTCATGTCATCAATTGTCCATTTCATCAAATTAAACATTGACACTTCTAAATATTCATATTAATATGGTTTTAAACCATAGGACAAAGATCAAAAGCAAAGGGGAGGGGTGAAATCACCTTGATCTTATCACTGACTTTGTTGGGAAGGTTTTAGTTTACCAATATTTAATCAGATTCCCTATTTATCTAATTGTGCCCACTATTTGTCCCTCTTATTGTTAGAACACTGCCAACTGGAACTAGAATTTACAAAATTGAAACAACTTTTATTTGACAACATTCATAACAAATTCGTTACAAATTCTACATTCAAGCAGAATTAACTGTGTACTTATTTTTGCAACAAGTAGAAACATGTACATCTGTTCAGACATCCATGCTTTCACCAATTATATATCTAATAATCAACATGCTTTACCCATAACTGTAATTACCACTTCTGCTAGCAGAACTGTCTTAAAGAATTACTGTCTTAAAGAATTACCTCTTTTACATTTTTAGAAATGCCACCTTCAAAGAAAAAGCAACCATGATTATGTGACTTAAATATTTCAGTTATTTTTCAGAAAGTACATATTTTGTATAATGAATTTTGTATAAATTCACATTGGATTTATACCATTTCTTTGGAATTAAATTGATTCTGTAATTATTTTAATTACCAACAAACTTGTAAATTAATTAGCAGCAATTACAGAACCAACATTTATATGTTACCATATTGCTGATCAGTAAACCCATTGTTATTTCTTTGACATCACACACATATTTATTTTGGACCCTTTTTGGATAGTCACTTGCTTAAGTTCTAGTATTACAGTACATATACTTTCAGTAAGCATAATCTCAGACTCTCAATGCAAGAAAATACTGTGAACAATTACGGATATGTGAACATTCTATTGTTAATAATTAGATATACAATGGTAACTTGAGTGAAGGGGAAAATCTCTCTATGTTTACATACAATACAATACAATAGCAGAGTTTGAAGGGACCTTGGAGGTCTTCTAGTCCAACCCCCTGCCTAGACAGGAAATTCTATACCATTTCAGACAAATGGTTATCCAATATCTTCTTGAAGATTTTCAGTGTTGGGGCATTCAATTCTGGAGGCAAGCTGTTCCACTGATTAATTGTTCCGTCAGAAAATTTCTCCTCACTTCTAAGTTGCTTCTCTCCTTGATTACTTCATCTTTAGAGGCTTGGGCTATTTGCTTATATTGTGCCTTAATTATGTCTCCCTCTTTCCACTTTTTATACTTTTGTCTTTCAATTTGTCAGAGAGTTCTTTATGCAGCCATGCTGGTTTCTTTTGGGAGCTGTTATTTTCCTTCTTCATTGGTATTGTGCAAAACTGGGCCTTTGTAATCTCATTTTTCAAAATTTCCCAAGCTTCTTGGGTTGTTTTCCCCTTGAGGATTCTCATCCATGGAATTCTTCCCAAGCGCTCTCTAAGTTTATTGAAATTAGCTCTCTTAAAATCCAAGACTCTAGTTTGACTTTGTTCTACTACTTGGGTTTGCATAATGTTGAATTCCAATATTGCGTGGTCACTTGCCCCCAGGGTTCCTATGGCTACAACACCTTCTATCATTTCCTCTCTTTTAGTGAGAATTAAGTCCAATATGGCTGATCCGCTTGTTCCCATCTCTACCTTTTGGGAAACAAAGTTGTCTGCTAGGTTCATTGGGAACCTGTTGGATCTTCCACTTGGTAAAGACTTTATTTCCCAGTTGATGTCAGTAGTTAAAATCTGCCATTACAATTGTGGTGTGCTTCCTACATACCTTAGTTAGCTGACTAGCAAAAAGTTCATCTACTCCTCTGCTTGGTTGGGTGGCCTGTAGTATAAACCTATGGCAATGTCATTCCCCCGCCCCCATAACATTTAATATTGACCCAAATGCATTCAAGATAGTTCTCATCATTGTTGTGCTCTATTTCTGTAGAGATGTAGTTATTTCTTATATATAGTGCAACTCCACGTTCTTCTTTTATTTGGTCTATTTCTTTTAAATAATTTAAAACCTTCTAGCTGTGTGTTCCATTTGGGGGGTTCATTTCACCAAGTTTCTGTAATGGCAACAGTATCGTATCTGCCCTCATTTACTTGAATTTCTAATTCACCCTGTTTATTTCTCATATTCTGTGCAGTGGTTATAGACATTTGAGTCCATTTTGATTGACCCTGTGTTTACTGTCTACATAACCTTTGTTATGCCTGATTGCCCCTATTTTCTTGCCACTTGTATTATTCATGCATATGGTATGGCACTCACTATTAAATGCTTGGTTTTGCTTGACGGCAGGAGTGATAATGTTACCTGCACAAACATCTATATTACATGCACTGATAACCCTATGAGTTTTAGATTGCTAGGGACAAAAATGTTCTGTATCAATTAATTCTCTGTCCCCGCTGTTCAGTTTAAATGTTTATCCAGAAAATCTGTGAATTTAATGCCAAGTAACTCAGTCCCTTTCTTGGATGGGTGCAAACCATCTCTTTTGTACAGTTTTTCATTGGACCAGCTGCACGCATCATGACTAATAAAACCAAAGCCTTCCCTTTTACACAACTCTTTAGCCACACATTAAACTCTGCTACACGCAGGCCCTTTGCTTTTTGTTTCTTATATACTGGTAAAACCTCTGAAAAGATAAGCCTACAATCTACACTACTAAGTTTATACCCCAAACTCTGGAAATTATTCTTCACAGAAAGTACATCTTTTTGGGACACATCATTTGTGCCAAGATGTATAATAGCATCAATGTCACAGTCCTTACTTGCATTCTTGACTATGATTATATATATATCTCCCAAACTGCCTTTTTCCTAAAAAGCCCCATATTTCTATAGTTTTTTCTCATAAGGAAATACCTATATTTTTTAAGAACTAAAGGCTAGGGTGAGACAGAAATAAATTAGCAGTAAACATTAAACTGTAATTTGGCTTACATCTAGATCTTGTTTAGCTAGACCTAAGTTTTTCTCTGTTTGGGGTCCTTATATTTAAAATGTCATTATATTTAAAATGCCATTGATGTGTACCATAATCCTTATCAGATCCAAGACAGTTTTCCTTCTTTGAATTTGAACAACTGCACATCACTCTAATAAACAAGAGCAGAGATTTGTCCAATGAACGAAACTCTAGAAGTAAATTCAAGACAGAATGCAACTAGAGTGCAGTACAAGCAGATTTACAGATTTTCCTTCAGAATCTAATTTAAGTATAAAATTAATAGAGCCTTCCAGGTTTATCTATCTCATTGATGGCTAACCTTTTTGGCGCTGACTGCCAAAAGCACACATCCATAATGCAATGTGTGTGCGTGCGCCCCGTGCACCCTACCCCCATGCATTCGTATGTGACCCATGTGAGCCCTACACCCCACACATGTGCGTCCCTGTGTGTGCCCTGCCACCACACATGTGCACACATGACCCACCCCCGCACATGTGCGTGCATCTTAAGCATGCACCCCACCCCCACGTATGCATGGCAGAGACCCAAAAATCATCTGGCTGGTAGGAGGCAGCATGCATACAGGGCAGAACTGAGCTGAGGCGATGGTTCATGTGCCCACAGAGAGGGCTCTGTGTGCCATCTTTGGCACACATGCCATAGGTTCATCATCACGGATCTAGCCAGTCCCACTGTCAGGAAAACCAAGCAGGATTAATGAAGCAGCTTCAACTATAATTTCAGTACGATCATAATCAGCCCAAATTAGAACTCTGGTTATTATTACATGTGAAAAAGATTTATTTTCCTATAGCTAATACAAAAAAAATTCTTTTTGCTATTATAGACCAACATAAAAAAAGCTGCTGAGTTATTGTTAGATACATGTTACTGCAAGTTTCTGTAGCAACAGTAGCTTGCTTTCCAATTACACCTGATTTCCTGGAAATCAGAAAAAAGATGCATAGCTTAAGGCTGTTGATCATTTATGGTCTTGCACTTCTCAGTGAAATGACATGCACTAATTGTGTTGGAAATGCTTCATCCCTGGAGCCTGGTATAGATGAAAGAAAGCTAGGATATCCATGAAAAGCAGGCTTGAGTATACATTTTATGTATTTGTATCCTAATTTTCATTCCAAAATGAAGCCCTAACAATTTTGAGCAAAAAACAACAACCCCACAATATTTTAAAAGATAAATGTTGATAAACTGCTAAAATGAACATATTTCAATAAATCTGTAAATATAATTTAAGTAGCAACTAATTCAGTTCATGAACTACTATAAACTCATAAACACAGAGCTCTAGAAACAGTTGTATAGTTGTGTGAGCAGTGGTGGGTTTCAAAAAAATTTGGAACCTCTTCTGTAGGTGTGGCCTGCTTTCCGGGTCCACTGGTGGAACCTCTTCTAATCAGTTCGGTAGATTTGACGAATCGGTTCTACCGAATAGGTGCGAACTGGTAGGAACCCACCTCTGTGTGTGAGTATATATAGTTTTATAGTTAAGGTATTTTAGTTTTTTCTCAAAGCTTGAATATTATTCTTGTAATAATGTAAAATTCTAACTATTAGACTTCAAGCGTTTTTTGATGGAAATGTGGCTATATTATACTTACTACCATATGAATTGTATTTAGCATATGAGAAACAAACAAATAGACATCAATTAAAGCAAGTAAAGGTATTCCTTGTCTGGCTTTCAGGTGCTTTGGAAAATGTATGGAACCTGACCAGGAGAGATTCAACCTAGAAATAAGAGGAACTTTCTGACAGTGGGAAAAATCAACCAACCCCTTCGGAAGTTGTGGGCGCTTCATCACTTGAGACTTTCAAGAAGAGATTGGACTGCCATTTGTCAGAAATGGTGTATGGTTTCCTGCTTGAGCAGAGGGTTGGACTAGATGACCAACCCCCTGCCAATGACCTGCCAACTCTATTAATCTGTTTTCTGTTAAAAGACTGGCAATGGACCAAGTTTTATCGCTGCATAAACATTATGGTTAAAACTGGAACATTGGTGTAGCATATTTCTTTGAATCTCCCAACAGATATTTTTATAATCAACATTCATATAAAAATATATCTTTATATATTTGTCTTAATCATATACTAGCACTATATCTGAATGTCAAAACACCCCCATTTCACCTTTTTTTGCCATTAATGAAATAATAATCCAAGTTTTAAGGAAAAGGCACTAGCATGATATTAACTTATTCCTGAAGTTATAACAGAATAAGCTGAAGTTTTAGTTATAAGATTTCATGAGAAAATTGGAGTTAAGAAAACTCCTGGTCCCAGGATTGACAAGTTTCTTTTTTTTTTTAAAGTGCCGAATTTTTTTTTCCTTGTGGTACTGTTAAAACTTTTGGCAATACAAAATTGCTAGGGGCTTTGGAATGCTGCCTTCTTCTGTATTCACTACCTTTCACAACTTGTATTGGCAACAAAAAATGGGTTTCTAGAAATGTATGTTTAATTATGAATTGCTTCAAAACATAAATGGAATTTAATTGGTTACAAAGCTATATTCTAACAAACAGGAGATTGTTTCATATAATTAATTTACTAGGGCATAATTTAGTAGTTCTCTTAAGCTCCACATTTGAATCCTGCAGGCACATAACAAACTGATTAGTAAATATAATAATGTAATTTATTCTACTGACAAGTGGAATTAAAAAGTGAAATATCCTACTTGATCAATTGCCATTTCAAGAACATTAGGACTTCATACAATTATGCTATTCATATGGTATGCAGAATCTGAATTTACAATATCATTGTTGCATGAGTGATTTAATGTTAAGTTTCAGCCAAGATTTTTTTTAAAAAAAATAGGAAGTCTAAGTACATAATTTAAAAAGGAAATAATTACTCTTCATAAAAATGTTTAACAAAGAAATATTTATGTAGATTTCTCATTCATCTCACTTCATGTTTCAGAATAGGCTTTGTATATTTTTTTCCTAAGTGGCCATCAATAAAGAAGGATTTAGGATGACACTCCAGTTTACTATGCCAAAAAAAGAGAATATTTATATTGCTTTTCTATGGATGCAGGCACTAGCTATGCATAGGCTTTGCAAAGAAGCCTCCGGAGGACGAAAAATGGACCTACGGGCAGCCCGGAAATTTGGGAACTGACTTTTGGGTTGCTACTTTTTTCCCTCCAGAGTCTTCAGGTGGTTTCCCTGAAGCCTCCAGAGGGAGAAAAACAGCCCAACACACAAACTTGAAGTGCGTTCCCGAACTTTTGGTTTGCATGTTGGGTTGTTTTTTGCCCTCTGGAAGCCTCAGCAAAAAATGCCCAAAAATGAAGGCCGAAGTCATTTGGCGCTTCACGTGCCGGAACAAATAGCTCACGTGCCACCTGGGACACAGTGCCATAGGTTCACCATCATGGATATATACATAAATATACATACATACACACATACATGCATGTATACAAACATTTGTGTGTATACATATATGTACAAATATCTTAATCACTGTCCATTTTAATTTTAATACATGGTAGAAAGACGAAACACAAGACGCTTTCAATCTTTTTTCTAGCAGTTATAAATGCATTTATATTTTATCATCACAAGTTAAGTTTATGTCATGGTTTCGTCCTTTTCAGTTCTTTCCTTTCTAATTATCAAACCTATAAATCACAAATTTATTTTTTTGTTTTCAGAAAACGTTTAAAGTGCAAAAGTTACCTTAATAAAAAAAAATTGTGTATTTTCTTCTAAATTCTTTCTGGAGATAAATATACTTTAAAATCCCATTACCATAATCCTGAAATTTATATTTGGTCTCAATTATTTTTTTCCTAGAATCTTAGATAACATGAGGGTATTTCTATCATTTACTCAAATGGTTAATTAAATAATTCTTTTTACCAATAATACTGTAAAATCTTCATCTATTCTTATTTATAAAATGGCTCTTTAATTTGTCAAAAGGATTATTAGTGTTTCTCTTTTAATTTACACTGATCAGAGTGGATAAAAAGTGATGATTTTTTTTAAAAAAATCATATTTTTAAATTTAAACCCGATTTTCTTATTTAAATCAGATTTTTATTTTATTTTATCAATTTTATTTTAAGAAAATGTTTTTGGAGTAAAATGTATCTAAAGATAGTTTTCTATTTAAGATACATTAGTAATTTAAATCAAATTCACCCTGACACTGATCATGTTCTTCTTTTATTCTTCTTACTCTATCAAATGCCTCTCTCATTTGCTCCTTCTTGCTTAGCTACTCACCCACCCATAAGCCCAGCTTTTGGTGTCTTCCTTAAAACAGTGTAACTGAGTAATGATTCCTCATACAGAAGAAAAAAAGATTTTACTGAATAATTTCGGATAAATGTTTAGAATGTTCTGATATACTATGTGAAAATGCAACAGATTAAGTAAAAATAAATATGGCTAATATTGATTGTAATAACTATTTCAATTATGTCTGTTTATGTTAACTATTTCTGACATCCATAACATATTTTTGATTCTTTGTTTAATAAAATAAAGAAATTCACCAAAGAAAGGCATTTCTTACTTAGCTATCCTATTAATAGATTCAAGTTCAATATTCAGTATTTCATTGATTTAACCATTTACAGTATAAAAAATTAAACAATCTTTACTTATTAAACTTTTAGATGGACTATGATAAGGCAATAAAACATTTTGCTATATATTTAAGTGTGACTTAAACCCTTAAAATAAATTTTAATATATTTTACTGAAGTTAATTGTATTTTCAGGTGGCTAACATTCAAAGATTACAAAGCAAGCACAAGAGTTTTAACTTCCAATGGTATTTTTCTCTGTATCCCATTCCACATAATTTACTACACACTGGAATTAAGATCCATTCATTTTTAAAAGCAATGTGCCCAATTTGTACTGGCAACTCTTATCCATTCAAGAAAGCAAATTAAAAGTTGCCATGGGTACATAACATTTGTATCTTGAGTATTTTTTTTAATCTTAGTCAATAATTTTAGTTATGCATATTAATGGAGAATATAAGGTTGATAGACTAAACTGAATATTACTATTAGTACAACATTACAGATCTTTTATAATACTTACCCCGTGCTCTTTGGCAGCCATAACTACTTTAAAAAGAATATCTTCCTCAACAAATGGTCTGACAGCATCATGGATTACTATTATTTCTGGTTTCTGGAGTGAGGCACAGAATGTATTGCCTTTTCCAAATACTTTCAATCCATTGAAAATAGATCTGTGACGGGTTAGTCCTCCTTCCACTACCGTTGTCCGTTCATGGCCGTATTTTCTAATAATAGATTTCATTATTTCAATATTCTCTGAAGAGACCACAACAACAACATCAGTAATCCAGTTGATTCTGTAAGACATTGAAGAAAAAATACAATGTCTAAAACTTCCTGGAACGTAATGTTTAAATTTTATTCTATTCGGAAATAAATATATAATATAGCTTCCAAATTTTGCCTATACATTTAGTCTATTTTTCACCATAATACATAGAACAAATATTTACTGTATAATTTATAATATATATTCAGTGAGTGTATAATTGCAGCATTAGTAATAAGATTATGACTAGAGTAGAAAAACCTCTTGTAGTTATAACTATGTTTTACTAATTTTGATGGAAATATAATCTCCGTTTCCAAATCGTAGTTTACATTTATGACTTCAGATTCATCTTGAAAGTTTTCCATGGGGTTGTTAGTTGAGGAAGTTGCAAGGCAAAGATAACATTTAAATTTAAAGTCTATTTTGATTAAGGTGTTGGATTAGAAATCTAAAAACTCAGGTTTCATTCCAATCTGAGCCTAACTAGTTAACTAGGTGACTTTAGACAATCTAATTCCAATCTACCTCATGCCTAGTTAACCTGAACTGAGCTCCTAAATAAGAATCTGAATATAAATCTAATAAGGAAATATATATATATATTTATTTATCAGCATAAATATAACATATATATATATATATATTGTTGAAGTTTATTAGTGATTATAAAAATTGTTCCCGCTGAATTTTATTAGTCAATATAATTATAATTTATGATTATATAATACAATTATTTATAATTTATAGGAAACTTGACTTGATAATTCCACAGCAAATTTTCCTAATACAGTATTTTAATATGTTTATCTCCTGTTTATATCTTAGATCTAGGGCACAAATTATCATATTAAAAGAGTGCTCCAGATTTATATATTCAAACTCTAATAAAAAAGGATTTTTTAAAATGTGAAGATAAATATTCTACTAGCATAAAATACACATTAAAACTAACATTTTATCATGCAACTATACATATTTTCAGAACACAGCTGAAGCAAACGAAGAACTGTGGTTTTTAAAAAAATATATATTAAAACTTGTTAATTTGAATTTGAAAAGGTGATTCAAAGACAGTATACCCCATTCTTTCACAAATTCTGCGTCTGTAATGTGGTATTTATATTTTCCTACTAATGCAAGTACTGCACTGCGTAAACTGTGTTGCTCTTGTCAATTCTATTGACATGGTCAGCAGAAAAGCTCAAAGCATCCTGTTTTTGTGCGTGGAACTAAGAATGTTGAAACTGATCTGAGGCTAAAGCTGACAAACATAATATCCAAATTCACAAACTAATACTATCTAAACAGAATACTATATTTGGCCAAATGTGATTAGACACACAAGGAATTTGACTCCAGAGGTTCTCAATGTATATGCAAAGCAACAGATTAATAATAATCATACTATTGTACCAATAAGATGGTAGTAGATAAGGTGAGAAGAGAATAATAATATTATAATCATATAATATGAGTAAATATACTGAGACATAATACAATACAGTAAGGATTAAGTGTTCATAAGAGTGATGGCACAAGGACAAAAAAACCTGTCCCTGTGTCTAGATATTCTGGCATGCAAAGTCCTATAGTAAAGTGACCAGATTTTAACATTAGTAAAGTGGGACACCATTGACGGATGGACAGGGGTGTTCTTGATTAAAACTTTTCCTCCAGCGCTGTGGCTGAGGTGAAGCCGCCAAAACTCCCACTGGCGCCTCCGCCCGTGGCAGCGGTGCCTCCCTCTCTGCTTGGAGCACCTGAGCTGGGCACTGCGTTACCCCTGCTGCCACCTCCTCCGCCACTGTGATGCTTTTGAGAAGCCACGGAGCCTTTTTTTCCTGCTGCCGCCCCCTCCGCCACCTTCCTACTGGCTCCCGCGGCCTCATGGCTCCTCAAAAGCATGGCGGAGTAGGAGGGGGCAGGGGTAATGCAGTGCCCAGCTCAGGTGCTCCAAGCATAGAGGGAGGCACTGCTGCCACGGGCAGGGGCGCCAGTGGGAGCTTTGGCGGCTTCACCTCAGCCACAGAACTGGGCGGCAAAAGTTTTAATCAAGAACAACCCCCTCATTCCATTCCCAGGCAGAAGAAAGAGACTCTGTGGAGGAGAGCTTGGCCAGTCATTGGAAGGCATTTGAGAAGGAGAAAAGCAGGCAAGGAAACTTCTCAGGAAGTTCCAGAAGCAGCTGCTTCT